ACGTTGTACAGTCAAGTTGGAACACAGGCTATTCTGACTGAGCTCCAGTTTATCCGGCACTTGTCTCCCTTCATCCCGTGCTGAGCACCGAGACATGTTTGACTCTGAATGTGAGATCTGGGAAGAGGGAGAATATGGAGAAGTCAAGTAGTGAGGAGTTTTCAATCCACCGGAGCCCCTCTGTGGAGAGCAGAGACTCGGAGGTTGGAAAAGCCTCTACGCCTGGACAGCAATTTAGTCGTGGATTTACGGCTGGGGCTTTTTATGGCAACTCCGGCAGCCGCAACAGGGAGCCGGCAGGACCCGGTCTCAAGAGGGACAAATACACAGCCCCTAAAGGCAGCAAGTATGTGGTGTTTTACCTCGACCTGTCCTTTGTTTTTCTCCTAGAATTCCAAAAGTGCAACATGGCGAGAGGCTGTTTGTGTTGTCTGAAGTACTTGATGTTTCTTTTCAACCTGATCTTTTGGGTAAGTGATTGATTTCTTTCTCTAAGTATTGAGTGTACAATTGAGAGCTGAAATGTCACTTGGTAACTACAAATACAAATGAACTCGGTCGTCCCCATACCCCCCGGTATTAAAGTTAGCTGCCGTCAGTCACGATCTGGTGTTGTGTAATTTTAAGTCTTGTATTTGGCAGGGTGAGGTCTCCTTACTTACATAAGTACACAGGAAATAGGAGCAGGACCAGACTCTTCAGCCCCTCCACCCTGACCTGCTGTCTAGTGCAATCGTGGTTTATCTTCTCCCACCACCCCACGCTCCTGCCCCATTCCCATATCCCCTCGAACCCCCGATGTTCAAAAGTCTCTAAATATACTCAAACTCTTAAGCATCCACAGCTCTCTGGGAGAGAGGCCCAAAGATTAGAATAAATTTCTCCACATCTTAACTGACCAACCCTCTGTAAAAGGAAACATTTTCTGGGCATCCATTCTGTCAAGGCCCCTATAAGGGGCTAAATAAAGACAGAAATAGCTGGAGAAACTCAGCAGGTCAGGCAGCATCTGTGGAGAGAGAAACACAATTAACACTTCAAGTCCTGTATGACTCTTAGATTGGAAACTGAGTTTCTCTGGCACTCTTTTTTAATTCCAGCATTTCATTATTTTGCTTTTATCCCCTTTAAGAGGCTTATGTGTTTCAAGGCAATTATCTCTCTGTTTCTCTAAACTCCTGGAAGTAGTCCTATTCTGCTCAGTATTTCCACATAGGGCACTGTCCTCCTCCCAGGATCCAGTCTGGCTTATGCCAATGGCACCCCCTAGAAGGCAATTATATTGCTTCTTTGGGTATATTTCCTGTACTTCAGCTGCGGTCTCTCCAAGTGTCTATGTAATTGCAATTAAATTTTTATTACTTATACACTCCATCTCTTTCTCTACAATACCTTTGCTTTCCCAATTCTTGCCTGTCAGTTGATTTGCTGTGACTTGTGTACAAGGATATTCAGGTCCCTCTGAACAGCAGCACTACTCAGTGTCTCTGCAATTTAAAAAAGAAATTATCTTCTATTTTTCCTTCCAAGTTGGATACCTTCAGATTTCTCCACATTGTGTTCTGCTTGCAACAGTCTTGCTCCTGCACAACCTGTCTGCACCTCACTGCTTACTGGCCCACTTAACTTAGCATTGTCAGCAACCTTTAGATGTATGACGTTCACTCCTGGGAGATAGCAAGAACTGCAGATGCTGGAGTCAGAGTCAATACAGTGTGGAACTGAAGGAACACAGCAGGTCAGGCAGCATCAGAGGAACAGGAGAGTCGGCGGTTCAGGCCTGGGAGGACTCACTCAGTCCTGTTGTTAAAACTGACATTCTCTGTCCTGTGAAAGCAGTGCAGAGCAGCCCTGGGTGTGTACTGCATTAAAGATGGCTTTATGGCTCCAACTGAGGCCAGCGGGCAGAATTCTGTGTGAAATGAGCTAATGGTTATCACCATATCCAGTCAGCAGTCTGTGCAGTTTGCAGCATTTAACATGGGGATAAGTTCCAATTCAGTAACTAACAACACTCCAGGAATATAACTGGGGATTAAGGTTAGTGCGGTTCTGACCAATCGTGCTCCTCTTCAGCATTTAATATGATCTCTTTAAGCATCGGTGCTTGTTAGGTCAGTTATAGCAGAGCTAGATAGCACTGCCTCATCACTGTGCATCCCTGCAGATTACAATCAGCTGTGAAACTCTGGCAGTGAATCCCACTGTGTGTTCACTGGTCAGGGATCAAAGGCAGTTGTTTCATAGTGTGTTCCTACTTTACAGCACCTCAGTGACTTTTTTTTTGTGAATGAAATGTCTGTAATAATTATTCAAAGGGATGGTTTGGAAATTTATCTTCCATTCTTCCCAATTTGTCAACGTGTCCACACTCCGAGTGTTTGAAACTCTATTGTTGGTTTTTAATGAGACATACAAGATCCTGAGGGAATTTGATATGGTGAATGCTGGGAGGATATTCTCTTGTGAGGGAGTCTAGAACTAGGGGACACAGTTTTAAAAATTAGATGTCTCTGATTTAGCACTGAGACGAGGAAGAATTGGTTAAGGGTCATTAGTCTGTGGAATGCTCTTCCCCAGAGAGTGGTGGAGCTGATTATTGAATATATTCAAAGCTGAGTTAGATGAGTGTTTGATTGACAAGCAAGTCACATTATGGGAGGAACAGACAGAAAAGTGAAGTTGACTGAGGGAGTTGACAAGAGGGGCTGAATGGCCTCTTCCGCTTCTAATGTTTCCAGTGTATTCCATTACTGATTTGATGCAATCAGTCCTTTTAGCTCGTAGAACTTTTACTAAGTAATGGCAGTATTCCAGTGTCCTCATGGTAATTAATCTGTTGTCCTAATGGAAGGTACAGTATTCTGTACTGTTAGGATCTAGTGTCACTTGGTGCAGAATACAGTACAGTGCATTGGGTATTAATTTTTCCTTTTAGGATTGGTCATATTGAGTCGTGTGCTATTCACCAGTGGTGTAATTATCCATTTGGAGATTAGCTGTCTCTGAGCCTCCCATCACAGCAGTCTCCAGCTTCCTTGGTCACTTTGTCCTAATCTGTCTGCGTGGCTTCCTCTGAAATGGACATTTGCATTGATCTGGATATATGATAATCGGATGAGAGGTCAGCTGCTGTGTTGTGGTTTAGAAAGACAGGAGAAAGGGAATAGCTTCAGATTGCAAGAAGTTGTTGTTAATAGGGACACTGCAAGCAGACATTGTTAGCAAGGGCAGAATAAATAATCAGATATTTTTCTGTTCCTTTACTTAGTCCATGCAGCGGTCACTATATAAGCCTGAGTGTGTGCTATGTATGTTTAAAAATTACCGAGTTCTGCATAATATTTCTCCATGTGTTACCGTCAGTGTATCTACCGTTGCATCTCTACCATTTTACATAATTCTGTGTTGCTGGTATTTTTTTCAATGCGACAGCAATAAACAGGTGTGCAGAGATTTCTGTGACTGCACGTTTCTTGGCTGTCCCAGAAGCTTGCACCCCCTCTCGGGTTTCCCTCTCCCCTCAGCAGGGGTTAAGATGAGACCATAAGATGTAAAATCATAACCGTAGGAGCAGAAGTAGTTCATTCGGCCCATAAAGTCTCCCCACACCGTTCAAAGTCCGAAGATGTGCAGGTTAGGTGGATTTTCCATGCTCAATTACCCCATAGTGTGGGCTAGGTGGATTAGCTGTCGGAAATGGGGAAGTTATGGGGATAGGGTGGGATGCTGTTCTGAAGGGCAGTGTAATTGTGACAGGCCAAAAGGCCTCCAACTGCATTGTAGAGATTCTGTGATTCTATGAAATCACTGCCTATCTAATAATCCTCAATTGTATTTTTCTGCCTTATCCCCATAATCTTAACCCTTTTATGAACCTGGTTCCATAAGCTTTAATTCCAGTACAGTGCAATAAGTGTCATAGAATGACCCAGCACAGCGGGAGACCATTCAGATCATTGTTTCTGTGCTGGTTCTATGAGCATGCTATTCAACACGTGGCTTTCTTTAACGAGCCCTGCAAATTCTCCTTTCACGTGTTTTCAGTTCCCTTTTTGAAGGTTATTATTGAATCTACTTCTACTGCCTATACATTCCAGATCGCAACAGCAACTGTTGTTTAAGCAGAGCCTTTTAACATTATTTTAAAAAAAAGTCCCGAAGCAGATCACAGAAGGATTAACAAACAGAATGTGGTGTTAACCTGCGTAAAGACAGATGACCAAAAGCTTGATGGTTGAACAGGATTTGCTGCAGATTATGCAATGGATGGCAAGTTTAAGTTGTTCCGTAAAAATACGTTTTCCCTGTTTCACCTCTTTAGCCAATCACCTTAAATCTGGGTGCTATTGTCATCGACCACTCTGGCAGTGGAAATAGTTCTTCCCCATTTGCTTTACCTTCACTTGTCAAGATTTTATCTATCAAATCTCTCCTAACGCTCCGTGCTCCAAAGAAAACAACCGCAGCTTCTTCATTTGGGGTGGCGGAGTGGCTCAGTGGTTAGCACTGCTGCCTCACAGCGCCAGGGACCCAGGTTCGATTCCAGCCTCGAGCGACTGTCTGTGTGGGTTTCCACTGGGTACTCCAGTTTCCTCCCACAGTCCAAAGGTCTGCAGGTTAGGTGGATCAGCCATGGGAGATGGAACGCCATGGGAGATGGAACGCCATGGGAGATG